TTGTAGAAATGAGGCTCTCCCATGTTGTCTAGGCTGGTCGCAAACTCCTGGGCTAAAGCAATCTGCCTGCTTCAGCCTCCCAAGGTTCTGGGATTACAGGGGTGAGCCACTGTGCCTGGCCTGAACTGTCAGTTATTTTTAGAGCAATTAAAAATAAAAATATAGATCATACTTTATAGGCAATTTTAGAGCAGAGGAATATCATGCTCCTTTTAAAATGTAAACCCTGTCACTGGCTGCTTTAATGGGGAAGCAGAGAGACAAGCTGGGAGGCTGTTGCAGTAATCTAATTGAGACATAGTGGCCTGTTCCAAGGTCATGTTAGATAACTCAGAAGGGTTCACTAGATAAGACATCAAGAAATGTTTTTTGTCTACCTCAGAGTCTCACAATGTTTCATGACACCTGAAATATTTAGATCTAAAGCTACTATGAACTATCTGAATAAGATGTACGTACTAAAACACTAAAAACATGACCAGTAATCCTTGTTGACCTCATAGTTCAGTTTGAAATAATCACAGTAATTGTCATCATCATTAGATAGAAGGAGTGCTTAGCAAGTGCATTGTCAACATTGTAGTTTTTTTTTTTAAGGGTTTTTGTTTAATACATCTGAAAAGAATGCATAAACAAAGAATTGAGACATGAGAAAGTATTGGTTCAATGCTAATGAATCTACAAGAATTAGGATTTGGGGAGGTGGAAAAGATTACCTAAACATTTTTAAAAATTGGAAACTGCAACCAAAATAAGCTGATAAAATCCCTATTAACACTTACAAAGAGTCTTCATAAGACTCTTTCCATGATTTCTATTAAACTAGAGAGCCTCACCTGGCTGCTCTAGGTTCCTTATATGCAAAGCAGAAATAAGAGGATTCCCCTGACTGGTCCCCATGTTGTTAAGTGGTCTCCCCACCCCCACCTGATCCCCAGCTTCTTAAGGAAGCAGGCCTCCATCCTCCTAACTTGAGAGGATGTGAGTCATTCCACAGATGTCTGTCTTCTAGCACCACCCCTCATATTTCCTGTGCATACCAGGTCTTCAGCTGCGTTCTAGGAACACCATGTACTACTGAGTTGCAAATCTATGCCAAGCATATAAGACAAACCTTGTAGTCTTTTTAAATCTAAGATTATCCACACGTTAATAAAAATGAATGCACTTGTCCACTTTTTTGCTGGAAAAGTATTAGGTCATTTATTGCAAGTTTATCATATTCTAGTCAAAGAACATCAATCAAGTTATGTACCTGAGTAATTCTACCAAGATTGTATTTCTGAATTCTAGATTACATGTTCTTTATAAAAAGACTGGAACTTTTAATAATAAATGTCTAACTTAAATACACACATGCACACTATATTTCCTTGTAGTGATGAAAGTATATTCTACCTTAATTCAAACTTTCTATTTTGCAAAACTGGAAACCCTACATTTATTAACTTTTTCTTTTTAGTTCAATATTTATTTGGTTTAAAATACTTTTTAAACTCTTTTTGCAAATTTCCAAATGTACTAAAAGTAGAGAGTACAATGACCCCATGTGTACCCATGACCCAGTTTCATCAACTTTTTGCCATACTTAAAAAACAATAATCTCATTGTTTGCTAAAACATTTTAATCAAATCGATTCATCCTTTCATTTTATCCCTAAATATTTCATTATTTTAAAAATGTTTTAAGTAACTACAGTGCATTATCACATATAACAGAATTAACAATTCCTTAATATCCTCTAATACTCAGTCCATATGCAAATTTACCTACTTACTAAAATAATTCTTTGTGTTTTTAGTTAATTTGATCCAGATCTAAAATAGACCCACTTACTGTATTTGGTTGCTGTTTTAATCTTATATCACTCAATTAAAAACAGGTGTTTCCCCTCCACTTCGTCTTGCCTTTGTCTTGGGAAAGAAGCTTGGTCAGTTGTCCTGTAGTATTCATGAGGCTGTTTCATTCATTCCTCCACATTTCTTGTAGACTAGAAGTTAGGTCAAAGCCTTGTTTACATTCAAGTTTGTTTTTTTATTTATTTAGCAGGAATACATAGATGGCATTGTTTCCTATTTAATTGAGAAAGCACATAATGTTTGATTGTTGTGCTTTTAGGGATACTAAGGTTAATGGGTGAGTTCACATGGTGACAACCTTATCTTTTTATTGTAGAGTTTCCTGCAGTCTTCTCTGTGGGTTGCTAAAACCACTGATGATTGTTGCCTGAACCAATTCTTTTAATAGGAGTTGCAAAATGATCGTTTTCTATATTTTCTTTCTCTTTTTTTTTGGCAAACTTACTTTCTAATCTTGTCATTACCTCTGCATTTATTAACAGATGTTAACAGAACTTGTATGCCAGAGCTGTTTGGTTAACTTGAAATATGCTCATGTCAGAAAAACAGAATAAATAAAGAGAAAAATAAGCACCAATGTTCAGAGTAGTGAATTCGTGTCCTAGCAACCTCCATTGGTATACAGTGAATTTTGTTTCTCTCTTCTTTTTTTATTTTCCTTAAAAACTTCTAGTAGTAAGGAGGATCTCTCTTTTCTAAGTATCATTATGAACTCATGACTTTTTATATATTTAGTAATTTTTAATAAATTAGAGTCATTATTCCTTCTATATCACTATGTCTCTGGCCATTGGGAGCCCCTTCAGGCTGGCTTCTGTTTCCTTTTGATATAACCCCACTGGCCTTTGGTAGCTTTATTACTTTTTGGCTGAAGAAAATATTCCAGGTTGATCTTAATCCATTTCTTGGCCCAGACATGGAATCATCTATTTTTCTAAGATGACTTTGTTATTTTTAGTGGTGAATGACATTTTAGAATGATATTTAGAAATACATGTTAGGTACTGTGTATTACTGGGTTGTCATTTCTTTCAGGCTTTTTCAGTGGACATTGCTAGAAACTATGTATTTTTGAAAAGAAAAGATCATGAGTTTACATTTACATTTCTAAATGAAAATTTAAGATTTTAAGCTTTTCTTTTGTAAGGTTGGATGTTTTATTATAAAATGTTCTTGACCTCCTGGCCAGGGGTGAAGGCAATAGGATTGCTTGAGGTCAGGATTTTGAGACCAGATTGAGCAACATAGTGAAACCCCATATCCTTTTTTTTTTTNTTGAGACATGGTCTTGCTCTGTTGCCCAGGCTAGAGTGCAGTGGTATGATCATGGCTTGCTGTAACCTCAAACTCCTGGGCTCAAGTGATCTTCCCATCTCAGTCTCTCAAGTAGCTGGGACTACAGGCCTGCAACCCTGCACCAGGCTAATTTTTTAATATTTTGTAGAGATGGGGACTTGCTTTGTTGCCTAGACTGGTCTTGAACTCTGGGGCTTAAGTGATCCTCTTGCCTTGGCCTCCCAAAGTGCTAGGATGACAGGCATGAACCACTGTGCCCAGCCATGAGATTCCATCTCTCAAAAAAATTTTAAGTTGGGCACGGTGGCTCACACATGTAATCCCAGCACTTTGGGAGGCTGAGGTGGGAGGATCACCTGAGGTCAGGAGTTCAAGATCAGCCTGGCAAACATGGGGAAACCCTATCTCAACTAAAAATACACACACACAAAAAAAGTAGCCAGGCACAGTGATGCACGCCTGTAGTCCCAGCTACTCGGGAGGCTGAGGCAGGAGAATTGCCTGAACCCGGGAGGAGGAGATTGCAGTGAGCCAAGATTGTGCCACTGCACTCCAGCCTGGTCGACAGGATAAGACTGTCTCAAAAAAAATTTAATAAATTTTTAATCAAGTATACAGGAGGATGTGCATAAGCTATATGCAAATACTATACCGTTTTATTAATATATAAGGGATTTGAGCATCCAGTGGAACCAATCCTACACAGATACCAAGGGACCGCTATATCCCGCGTTTTCTGTATTTGTTGCCTGTATTAAATCACAAGCCTCCAAGGAAAAAGAAAATATCACAAGCCTTCAGTTATCTTGGTGCCCAATGTAGTATAATCTTTTCTTTCTCATTCTTGTGCCTTGTCCTGTAGCACATGTTTACATTCAATTTAGAATTTCATATTCATTCATTCTAGTATTTCATTACTTAGTACTTCGTTATTCTATGTTGTTTTGTATTTGTTTAACAGGTTTATGTCTTCATTCAATAAATTTGTAATTTCCTGGAGATTAAGACTTTTCCATCACTGTAGGAGGTTTGTAATGTTTTCAAATTAATATATGAGAAAGGAGGCACAAATATTATATTAAAAGGATTTAACAAATAAAAACTTTGTGTTTCTAGAATGTAGCTTTAAGACACATTCAAGGAAAATACTTTCAGATGGTCATTACTTTTGATGCTTGGCCTCAATTCCTATTTGGCTTAGCTTCATCATTGGTGGCCTAGAACTTGGCTGATAAGTAGGAGAGCTGGAAGCAAGGCTGGCTGCCTGGCAAAACCTACTTATGTTGACTTGGATTGCTTTTGATCTTATTTGCTATTTTATCAACTATTTTTATACTCCTAAATGAGTAGAATTTCTGTGGTTTTTATAGAAGAATGAGAACCAGGAAAGCCAGACTATTTACAACACTTTAAAAATGTGACAGTAGTCCTATAATAGTACTGAAGCTACTTGTTATGAGACTGTGTTAATTTGTTTTATGATTAGCGTAGGAAGAAGCAGCTGAGGTGATATGTCCCATCTGTCTGCTTTCCTCTTCCTTCTCTTTCACCCTCGAAGAAGATGCTGGAGATTCTTCGGGGAAGAATAAAAAGATTAAATTTAGAATATATTTGTATTTGTGTTAAGAAAATGCTTCTTGGGTTTGCTTATAGGTCCAGTTATTGCTTTGGAGTTTAATGGAGATGATGCTGTAGAAGGATGTCAACTTATTGTAAACGAGACATTCAATGGGACCAAGGTACAAGATTTTATTGACTGTATTTCAATCTAACCTTTCACTTCATCTCCTTTTCCTTACAGTCAAGTGCTACTTTTGTTCCTAATGTTGCTTGGAATTTTTGTTTTGTGTGTGTGTGTTTTTAAAAGTCAGATCATGATTTCTAGTACCTTTGATAAATAATTGGGAACTAATTATTTTTTTCTTGCCAAACTAAAACTTTGTTTAAAATAGTTACAAAACAGGGCTGGGCATGGTGGCTCATGCCTGTAATCCCAGCACTTTGGGAGGCTGAGGTGGGTGGATTACCAGAGGTCAGGAGTTCAAGACCAGCCTGACCAACATGGAGAAACCCTGTCTCTACTAAAAATACAAAATTAGCTGGGCATGGTGGTTCATGCCTGTAATCCCAGCTACTCAGGAGGCTGAAGCAGGAGAATTCCTCGAACCCAGGAAGGCAGAGGTTGCTATGAGCTGAGATCACGCCATTGCACTCCAGCCTGGGCAACAAGAGTGAAACTCTGTCTCAAAAAATAAATAAATAAAATAGTTACAAATAAGAATTTATTTATTAAAAACCTTCTATAGCATATAAGTTTCTAAAGTAAAAAGTCTCATCAAATGTCTTTTCAAGTCTTTGCATTTTTAAAAATACTGATTTGTTGAAAATATTTTATTTCTAATATTATAGTCTTTAGATGGATGATCCTGTTGCCCAGGGTTCATTTTTACTTGCTTCAGTAATGCTTCACCAAATATTGAACTTCAGGTATATATAGAAATTATCACATGTGAGCGTTTTCTAAATATATTGATGAAGTTGCTGTATCTAAGAATTTCAGATGTAAATAACTTTAAAACCAAATGTAGAGGATTACATTAGCAAATCTATACTTGACTACTTTTTGATAAATATCTGGGAGGACATTTTGGTTTTGTCATCTGATTTGGCTTATGATTCCTTGAATTTACAAAAATTAAAGTACTTTTTCTTTGATCACATTTTATCACAGTAGTACTAAGGGAGAGAGGAAATAGAAGATTGAATAGAAAAGGCAACAGAGATAAAATGGTTATAATTTGGACTTTTAGAGCTGAGTGATTTAGAGATTATCTAATCCAGCTGTCTCATTTTACAGGTGTAGTTACTGAGCCCACAGAAGTTTATCAAATTGTCAGTATCATATGCTAGTTTATGGTTAAGCTAGAATAGAACCCAGGCTGCTCTAATTCCTTGCTGACATTTGTAAAAGCTACTTTAGAAGGGTTCCATTGAGTATTGCTTCATTAATGTTTAGCAAAGGCCAGGCGAGGTGGCTCATGCCTGTAACCGCAGCACTTTGGGAGGCCAAGGCGAGCGGATCACCTGAGGTTGGGGGTTCAAAACCAGCCTGGCTAATGTGGTGAAACCCTGTCTCTACTAAAAATACAAAAAGTAGCCAGACATGGTGGTAGGCGTCTGTAATCCCAGCTACTCAGGAGGCTGAGGCAGGAAGAATCGCTTGATCCCAGGAGGTAGAGGTTGCAGTGAGCCGAGATTGCGCCATTGCACTGCAGCCTGGGCAACAGAGCGAGACTCTGTCTCAAAAAAAAAAGTTTAGCAACTAGTTTATTTAAAAATAGTAGGCTGGGTATGGTGGCTCACACCTGTANCGGCAACATAGTGAGACCTAATCTCTACCAAAATAAAAAAAATAAAAAATTGGCTGTCTATGGCCATACCACCCTGAACGCACCCGATCTTGTCTGATCTGGGAAGCTAAGCAGGGTCGGGCCTGGTTAGTACTTGGATAGGAGACTGCCTGGGAATACCGGGTGCTGTAGGCTTTTAAAAAATAAATTAAAAAAAAAAATTAGCCACGTATGGTGGCATATGCTGTAGTCCCAGCTACTCCAAGCTGAAAATCTCATGAACCTATAAATTCACAGTTATAAGGAGCTATGACCATGCCGCTGCACTCTATCCTGGGTGACAGAGTGAGAACTTGTTGCTAAAATAAATAAAACAGTGGACAATATTTTAATTCCTTTTTTTTTTTTTTTTTTTTTTTTGAGATGGAGTTTTGCTCTTGTTGCCCAGGCTGGAGTGCAATGGTGCAATCTCGGCTCACCGCAACCTCCGTCTTCTGGTTCAAGCTATTTTTAGTAGAGACAGGGTTTCTCCATGTTTGTCAGGCTGGTCTCAGACTCCACCTCAGGTGATCCTCCTGCCTCAGCCTCCCAAAGTGCTGGCATTATAGGCTTGAGCCACTGCACCCGGCGAAACTAAGAGTTAAGTGACTCTTATTCAGCAGCTTTCATAATATTAAGTGTTGTAAAAGTCCAGATATAATAAAATACAACTCACGTATTATGAAAGCAGAGACCTTAATTATATAAGTGCTTCCAAAAGAGCTTAATTTACATTATAGCTATTCAAACTGTATTACATGAATTCTAAAGAAAATCTACAGATTAAATATTGTCATTATAAATGATGTGCTTGAACTTCTTCTGAATAATTAGCTTGGGACTTTGTTCTGTGGAGAACATGGGGTTTGGCATTCTGAAGTCCTTGGTACTTACTTTTTATTTCTATTTTCTATTTAAAATATCCATGGGTAAGACTTATATATAGCCCCAATTGAGAACTAATGATCTAGAATCCTCTAGATTCAAATTAAGCAAGTAAGGTTTTGTATCAGAAAGCAAAGAGACAGCATCTGGAGATGTGGACAGCTTCTACAACTTCGCTGATATACAGATGGGAATATGAAGTGCAATGTGGAACCAGGACTTGGTATTAAGCCTTTCCCAACTTGTGAATATAGAATTTGATAATATACTTTTGTGTATTAGCAATGGTTTTTGCTAATGCTAAAACTGTTGAAGTTTATTTTTGAATAAATTGTTGAATATTACATCATTTACTTGAGGTTCAAAAATAATTCATTTTAAATTAAGTAGTTTTAATCAGCTTAAAAGCTATTTAACCCACTTTAATAAGCGTGCAATTTTGTTTCTCTGCATATGATATTCTTATTAGAAAATAGAAGTTGCTAACAGTTTATTATTTTAATCCTACTTAAATGTTCTTTCAAATCTCTAATAATTTAAACTTTCCTCAGTGCTCCATGATATTTTTTTTGAGACTACATTTCATTGCTTATTTTACATTTTTCAATTTAGAGGGATTTGTTACTAGTTGATCAATTATAATGAACCTATGCACATTTTTTATGTACACATATGACAGTTATATAAATGCTTCCTCGCTGCATTATATGGCAAATGAGATTTTGTACATGGAGTTGACATAATACTTTGTAAATTGAATTTTTTAAAGAAATAGGCATTTGATAACCAGCTTGGCAAGCAACTCTACTAACAGATGTTGGTATAGCTATTTAAAGACTACTTCGTAAGCAGTATGATTATTTGAATAAATTCCACATTGTTTAGTTTTTTTAATACAACTGCTATATGACTCTTCTGCTTCCTCGTAAGAAAAGGTATATGCAGTACTAAAATTATAGAAGCCCAATCACCAGCAGTTTTCAAAAAGGTGATAACTTATTAGCTCTTGTGGGCTATCAAGAGAACTAGAACAAAACCTTGTGACTTTTAGGTAAGAAATAGGCATGATGATAAGCTATGCAGATTATTAAAAAGCTTGATACAGGCTAGGCATGGTGGCTCACACCTGTAATCCT